ACATCATCTGTGCTGCCTGGGCATTGTCTTCAGCTGAAGACAGTGGCCCTGTGACAAATCTGGAGCTCTTTCTCTGCCTGTGTCCCTCCCTCAGCTGCGTACCCTTTGGCCTGTTGAGGTCAGGTGGGGCTCAGCTTCCAGTTTCTAAATGCTCTGCTTGGAGGGGAGAGCCCGGCTGCAGCAGCATACCCTGCTGGGGAGCTGTCCTCACTTGATGGTGGTTAGTCTGGCGGCTCTCAATTGTCAGGCCCCAGTACTGGAACCCAGGGCCTGGAGGCCACCGTGTCTAGCACATGGTGAGGGGAGGACTTCTCTACACTGGCTATTTTGAGACTGAGGTGTCCACTCAGCTGACTGGCATGTAGAGGAGGTACCTTTGACAACTCTCAGAACCCCATTTCTTCTTGTTACTTAAATCCAGAACCCAGCAGCTTCACTTGGGATACACAAGATGACACTTGCCACTGCCTGTCAAGCTCCCAACTGGACCTTGGTGAAGCCACCATAGCCACCTTGTATACAAGTACATGGGAGTGATGCCTTGTTTGCAAGAACAGTCAGTGGGGTAGGCTCGAAGTGCAGCCACTTTGCTCATCCTGGTGTGCGGGAGCCCTAGGAGACCAAGAGCATGGTTAGATTTTTAAGGAGAGGAGGTGCTGAGTCAGCTCCCATGCCTAAGCCTCAGCACAGTAATCCAGACCAGCTTCCCCACTGTCAAGTTAGACCCATGCAGAGGGTGCTGTCTACACCTGCTCTTCAGACTGTTTTGCTTCCGCAAGCAGTTCTGTTTCTGGGAGTTTATCCTAAGTACATACAAAGGGGAAGCAGCATGCGGGGGTGGGGGCTGGAAACAGCAGGGCTCGGCAGCACAGGTCGACTCTCGGGCTGGAGTGGGTAGACTCAGGCTCAGAACTGGGGACAAATACACATTCTTGCTCTGTAGATGGAATGGCAGTGGACTCACCACTCGCAGTAGTCAAGCAGGCAGGCAGGGCTTCAGAACAAGGCACTTCCTAGGCCCAGTCCCTCTGCCAGTTCTCGCTGAATGCCACTGCTGTGTCTTGTCCCTCCCTCCCTTATTGACGTCAGGGAGGATGCTAGGGTTTGCCTCATCTGGGTCTCTGTCCTGGACACGCAAGGCTGCTGTGCTGCAGTGGATCGCTGCGCTGGGCTGCTCCCCTGGGTACTGATGGGCAGTACCTGACTGGCTCTGGGGTTGGGAAGGTGGTCTTTACTCAACAGTGTTTTAATGCCCTCCCTCCACAGCTGCCAGGCCGCAAGTACAACCCTGGGTACAATGCCGAGGTGGGTGACAAGTGGATCTGGCTAAAGTGAATGGTCGGTCCCCTCTGCCTAGCTGTGTCACAGCCATGAAGATGTCTGCTCTGCCCAACTCTGAACTCTGGAGCTTTACAAGACAACAGGAAAAAAGCAATGATCAAGAAATTGCCCCCCCAAAATGGTCTAACAAAAACAGTCTGCCCTGGGCCTAGTCAGTTGATGAAAGATTCAACTTTTATTGAAAAGGTTCTGGAAACTTCCAGTTTTATTTTGGAATCATCTGGAGAAGGAACAAAACAAAGCTGGTCTGCTCTGAAAGAGCAGCTCTCACTGGAAGCCCCACGTCCCCATGTCCTTCAGTCCTCTCAACTTCAAGAAATAAAGCCAGCACCATAGCTC